CCCCAAAACCCCAAAACCCCAAAACCCCAAAACCCCAAAACCCCGTATAAGGAGAGATCCATTGAGGTAATTAAATTAATATACGAATAATGATTAAGTTGAGCTTTGCAATCGGATTAAAGGCATTTACTTTGCTTATATTCTGCTGTCTTTGTAAGACTGATGGCTTTGGAAGAAACCTTGCTGTTTCAACAAGCCAGTCGGCCTGAAAGTCTTGTGTTGATAATAGTTCTCAGAAGTGGTGAGCCCCTGTCGGAAATACTCAAGTTAATGGAGAATGTTGTAGCTCTGGTGATACTTCAGGATACTGTGCGAGTAGTAGTAGCTATGCTTGCTCTGGGTCCTCCACCATCCAAGGTAATGCAGGCTTGATACTTTGCCCAGATGCTACTTCAAAGTGCGGGTACACGGACCACTCACTTCGGAATACTACTACCAAATTGTCAATAGTAAGCTCTGTTTCTTCCACTGCTGTGTGCACTCAAAGGTTTTATAAACTTTCAGGCAGTATCACTCAAGTCAAGATAGTAATGAGTAAGTGTCAAATCAATTCTTCTTAAGCTTAATCGAGAGTCTAGAGCAATCTTGCTATAAATACTTTTTTCTTTGTTCTACTCTTACTTTAATGAACTACACAAAAATTAGAGAAAATTCTCATGAAGATTCTAAACAAAATCGCTCGGCTAAGTTAAATCACTTTAAAAATTAGTATTAATACCCCTCTCTTTCGATTAATAGTTTTCTGAAAATTCTGTTAATACTTCCTCCTTCAAAATCCCAAATTCTTCCTACTTGTTAAGAAATTCCAAAAATTTGTTCGGTAAAATTCAAACTTTAGCCTAGGATTCTGACCCTAAGAGGGATATGTTGGGTTTAAACTGGGGGTTTAGAGGGGTTTTGGGGGGATTTGAACGGGGGATTTTGGAGGAAGGAGGGGAATTTTGGGGTAGAAGTTTTGGGAAAAGTTAAGTTTTGTTTATCGAGGGATTGGAAATAGGGTTTAGAGGGGGTTTTGGAGGGGAAAATTGGGGTTGGGGGTCTGAAGGAGGGAGGGAGGTTTGAGAGGGGGTAGGCGAGTGGAAGGGGTGATTTAGGAGTGAAATTAGGGTTTTGTTGTCTTGGAAAAATTTTCATCAAGATTTTTATGTATTTAAGTTTTTACTATAGATAACATATATGGAGCAACTGCAACAGTTTATAGAGGACCAAGAGGAGAAGGAAACTATACTATGTTAGGAAGCCTGTTAAAAGGCTACACAGCCACAATTTCGTTTAGTACCAATACCGATGTTTACTTGTTGGTCGTTCCTTCATCGGCTTCTAATCTGCTAAACATAACTGTCTTTGGGGCGATTGCTTCTAGCTCCAGCAACTCTTCAGGTTCGTCTAGCTCCGGTGGTGACTCTATCTCTGATGGTTCAAAAACGAACTTGACTGCCTTATGGGTAGTCTTAGGAATTCTTGGAGGAATAGCTCTCATTGGGGGTGCCATTTTCGCCGTTGTTTTGATCTATAAGAAGAACAAAAAAAATGCTTCCCTCAAAGCTTCTCAAAAGCACGGATCCGACCCCAACAAGACAACTGTCCACGTGAACCCCAACGGCTTTCACAACCCCGATACTGTTCCTTGTAAGCTCTTGCTGACCGTTTTAGGGCAACCAACTCCCAAAACACAGAATTAATCTTAGCCTAGTCTCTAATTCTTGGGAACAACTTTTGTTTGGATTAGGTGGTGGATAACGGAAAGTTAGAATTTTCAGAGAAAAATGGGGATTGGGAGATCTTCAATCTGAAGCATAGTACGGGGTTTTGGGGTTTTGGGGTTTTGGGGTTTTGGGG